TTCAGTTAGCTTTCAATGACTATGGGGCTCCCTCAGACGGGCCGCTAGAAGCTATCAAAAGGTTCAATCCGTCTGCTCTCCGGAGGCCTTGTCTCACCTGGATATAGAACCTGGCTCTCAAAGTATTTCAGAATCCCTTACTTGGAGGGAGGGAGGAAGGAATAAGTAAGTAAGTATACTTCGAATCCCTATAGAAGACATAGATTTTAGTCCCGCTTAAGTAGATAGAATATGGGGTATATGGGGATCTTATTGTAATATGCCCCAAGCCATATTCTATCTACGTAAGGGGGACCATATCCCGAGTTATCCCCAATCTCAACCCCGCTCATTAGGGTCTCCTTCACCCTCCAATCATCCTTCAGATGAAGAGTCCCATTAATTTGAGAAAGTCCTATACTTATTAGTAATACCACTACTAATATGCTGTATTCTATTACCGTTATTAATATGATTATTCGTATTAATAATCTGATTCTTGGTACTACTACTCTAGTGGGTGCTGCCAAGTAACTTGTCATCTCCCCGGTGGAAAATGATGCCCAGCGCTACTTCGCCGTCCTACTGCTCATGATCGATGCTTTTGGACTGAAGGCCCTGAACAAATGTGCTGCGATTTTTGCCCGGGATTGCCAGACTGTTCTGCTAAATAGTAGTTTCCATTTTCCTGTCCATTATCCCTGTATAATCCCTATATATCCCCATACATATATACACACCATTATATACCCTATTACACTCTAGTAGTTTCCACTTTCCATTATTCCTATATAACACCTATGTATCCCCATATAACCCTATAACCCCTAAACGCTTAACCCTAGACCCTAAACCCTATAGCCCCATATAACTCCAGATCCTTGGGGACTTTCGAGGCTTCTGAAGGCCAGGCAGAGCACCCTATGTCTGGGCTGTAGAGCTAGGGTTTAGGGTTTAGGGTTGGGGGCTCCACTCCTCCGGGCAACGCTACTTGAAGGGTCAGGGGACTTAGAGTAATGTAAAAGAAGATGGAAACTACTGTAGAGTTTACGTTTTAGGGTCAGGGGGCCTTTGAATGTAGGTTTGAAATTCGTATAAATAGGGTTACTATACGGGTTGTAGGGGTCCCTTGACCCTCCAAGTAGGCCGTAGCATGTTCTAGGAGCCGAATATCCATGCTTCCTACCGACTGAAGGCCTATGGATTCAGAAGAGCATCCTGATTGTAAGAACATTCTAATTTCACTACCTTGCAAAGCAAAGGATGCTACTGTCCGTTTTGTTGTCGACTTCTTCCATGTGATCCTCCATTTATTTGATCCTTCATTACTAAAGCATTATCCCTAAAGCCCTAAGCTGTGGTGCATCCCTTGAAGCCCCTGAAATTGGCAAATCCAGGGTAAAGTCCTCTTCTGCATCGAAAAGAGGCACCTCGTACGTCAAGCCGTAGTCATCTTCAGAGACCTGGGTGGTTTAGGGCTTAGGGTTTAGGGTGATCCTCTTCTTCTTTCTTCCAAGGAATCGAATGCACCGGTCTGTCCACATATGAGCTATAGTCGAAACTCCTAGTGTATCCCCTTCTTGATAGCCCCTGTGATACTAACTCCCCGGTATAATCCCATATATAGAAATTCTGGGCCGGGGTCTGCGAGAGCGGGCACTAAAGAAGTCCGATTGAGCACTGCAAGAACGGAGACCGGCCGAGAACCTGTAGCCCTGGACTAGAGCTTGTATGCTGCAGGTCGCGCCACAACATCCTGTTCATCAACACCCTAAACCCTAAACCCTAAACCCTGTCAGACATTTCACAGCAAGCTAGTTCTACACCGCTTTTTGGCATAAGTGATTTGCCACAAGTTGGGGCTTCTAAAAGATCAGGCTGCATCCAAAAGCGTGCAGCCTGCAACCCCCTTGCATATGTTGTACTCAAATTGGGAGAACCACATGCGCCGTGCCCATGAGCACTCCAAAGCAAACTCTGCCGAGGAGCCGGGTGCAGGGGCGCCTCCCACTCTGTGTGGACGGCAGCAGCGGCGCCCCAAACCTCTGGGTTTAATTGGAGGGCTTTGGGTTTAGGGGGTGCGCAAAGGGCCTTGTAGGAGCATGCCGGAAATTCTACTAGGAGCCATAATCTGACTCATATGAGATATATTCCCTCAGTTGGTGAACAAGCAGTTTCCCACGTTGCAACGATTTTTAGGTCTGGGAATTCTTTTTGGAGGTAAGATTTAGTGGGCTCTTGGTATCGCGCGGGTGGGCGAGGTATGCTTAAACAGGCGGGCTTAGCTTTGTGTTTTGAAACACAAAGCAATGACTTCAATGACTGGGAACAGTACTGCATGTGCAATTTCAGTTGTGGATGAGAAGTGTCATAAGCCAAGTGGGCCGAGAATTTGGTAGCTAGGTCGTGATCATGGCTGTGCAAAATAAGCTTTGAAGATCCGACTGGAGAATCCCAGCCCATTTGAGTTACACTTCATGGAATTACCACTAATATGCATTTGGCAAATACAAGCATACTAGCTGCCAAAACAAGAACCAAAAACACATCAACACAAATAGGGGGTATTCCAAGCAACTTGGGTGTCCTGGCTGGAGTGCAAGGTCAGGAGGCTTTTGGGACTGCCAAATTTTGTGCAGAAAAAGAGGCCTGCCCTTGCCTACACCCGGGAAATGCTGGGCCTATAAGGACCCCCAACCCTTACGCGAGATCCATCCTGAGACCCTACCTGAGATCCGAAGCCTTAGCCACATTCACCCCTACCCTTGGCTTGAGCCAGGTGTCGTGGAGCCCGAAGCCTTCGCCCCTCTCGTGGCGCGGAAGTCGCGCATGGACCACCAGATGCGACATGTGAAATTCGGTGCAGGGTTTACAAATCTAGGGGTTTAGGGTTAACGGTTTCCCTGCAAAGGGCGCCCCAGTAAAGACCTCTCTGTTCTATCCTTATTATACGGCATCCCAAACAGCACCCGTTGGAAACCCCCAGAATGGAGTTTGGGTTGCGACTCTGCTTTGGGGGGGAAGGCCAGCAGAAGCGTAAAGGGCTAGCTTCAAGGTATGGTAGATGGGGAGTGCTTGACCGTTTCTGCAAACCCTACTTGGAGGATCAGAGGGACTTAGTAAGTAGATTAAAATCCACTATAACCCTATAGTAGCCCTAATTATCCTCATTATTAACCTACTTACTAAGTCACCCTGACCCTCCAAGTAAGCCCTAAACCCTGAACCCTCAACCGCTTTGTTCGTTGAGGTAGGCTAGAAAAGGTGTGGCCTCTGCTCTGTGGCACAGATATGGAAGTCTCCCTAAATTACTGTTCCCAAAATTGGGGAAATGTATATGGGGCCCCGTATTATAATAGGAACCAAAATATAGGACCCCGTATTGACAGTAATTTAGGACAATCCCCATATGTTGGGTCGGACTGGCTAAGGTACAGAGCTTGAAGCCTGAAAACGGCATCGTGCTGACATATTTGAAGTTTCGGGTTTGGGTGGGGTAACAGGAAATCACAAGGAACCAAACCCTAAACAGGGAACGCCTTCAATTCCAGGCCCTTGTAAATCTTGAGTCAACCATAAGTGCACAGCCCCACGCAAAAAAAGACCCCTTGAGCGTTCAGCCGCCCATGCTGCGCCCCCTTGAAGCTCGTACAGACGAACCCTCGCATTATTGTTGGCTTGACTTTGAGTTAGGGTACAATCACCTAAGCAGCCATAGGTGCATGAGAATTATGGCGTTGGCCTAACATATTTTCGAAAATTACCCTCTAACCTCCAAGCAGAAGTCATTCAGGGATTCGATTGCTGAGAGGACATTGGTCAGAAAGGAATCTAAGAGGTCCTTCTTACATGAAACGGGTGCCTCTCCACACGATGGTTCTCTAGTTGGGCCGCTATCCCCAATGCTGAGGATCTTGCCATTTACTGGGTAGACAGTGGCCCCTTCCTTTCCTTGAGCAATCTAGTTTCAGCAGTGCTGTGGTAAGCATGTCCATTGCCGACTGCTTACTACTTAGCAGGGCTGGCATGGCTTTTGGAAATGCCTGAGAGACAAACGGTTCTGTCGAACCCTCAACTCTGGACTCTACAGCTTGGTCTTTACTTCCAGCACGTGAAGAAGAATCGTGTGTGGGATGGTGGAAGAAGATAAGACTGTATAGCAGAATACTGCAGCTGTTTTCCTGTATGGGAGCAGGAAGTAAAGCCATACTTCCTGCTTACAGGAACAGCACGATTCTGCCCAGATATAAGCGCTGTAAGCGCTTATACCGAAGGGGGGGGGAAAAGAAAGACTGGAGGGGAGGAGGGAAGAGGCTGGGAGAAGAGCGGAGGTGAACTTAGTTGCTGCTTACTTTCCTCTTAGTTGCAGCCTTTGAAAATCTAAGCTGCCTGTAAGCAGTACATAAGCAGTAAGTAAGAAGACCTCATTTGCTGCTTACTGCTTTTATGTTTTCTGCCTCCAGGGGTGTAAGCAGCAAGTAAGCAAGTAGTGGGCTTACTTGCTGCTTACATGCTGCTTACACCTCTTCCCATCTCTGCTTCTCTTTCCTTCCCTCCTCTGGTCTCCTGGAGATGTAAGTTTTGATGTTTGAGGGACACTTTTGCTGGTTCTCAAAGAGGAGGGAAGAGAAGGGAAGAATTGTAACGAAACTTCCTTGTTGCAAAGAAGGGAGGGGGGATGGGAGAGGAGAGGAGAGGAGAGGAGAGGAAGGGAAGGAATTATTGGAGGTTGCGGTGCCCAGGCCTACATACAGTCTTCTCAACTGCAACATTGAAGACACTGCCTAAATGAAATTCTGGCTAGGTACTGCATCCTGCAAAACGTGAGAGTTCTGTTCTACATGGAGAGCCCGTACTTCTTGGGTCAAGTAGCCGCAGTTTCAGAGATGCTTGCCAGCTAAATTGATGAAGACTTTACCCCTCTCCATCCTGCCCTAAACTACATTCTCCCATATTCTTCCTTGCAGACCTATAGTATCCCTAAAAATTTTCCCCCAAGCGGCCCTTGCTCGGTCCCCGACTGCGGAAGCATCTGAGGACAGCTGCCCAACATCCGCCAGAACGGCCTTCCACAGGAGCAGGAATTTAGGGTTTAGGGTTTAGGGTTTAGGCGGCATATCATGGTGAATAATCAGGTCTGGCAAGTGTGGCCAACTGCCTCTTCCCTGCAACCACCACTACCACTACAGCTCTCTAGCTATTGCTGATGCTCTTGCCTCTTACTGCTACTGCTGCTACTGCGGACTCCTCCTGCGGCTACCGCTATGACTACCAGACTACAAGACTATATACTAAGAATTCTCCTAAGTACTCCTCGTACTCCTCTTCCTACCATCTGCCAGTACTAGTACCAGTACTAGTAGGTAATTACCAATGCTGGCACTGGTAATTGCTGTGGTACTATTACCAATAGCAACTCCGAAGCATTCCTCTGTCGCCAAGGCCCCGGCGCTCTCGGAGGTCCGCGTCGGGGTGGCCCCAGGCAGCGGCTCAACCTGAACACCGTGGGAGCCTACATATTTACCAGTAAAACTTTTTATGCAGCCTAGACCCGTTCTAGGAGCTATAAGAACATGTAAGGCTATGTAGGGCTAAGGGTCAAGGATAGAATGCTTGCCCCAAAAGTGAACCGAACAAGAACTGGTAGCATCTAGAACTGAGTCTTGCTTGTGCAGTGTGCTGTTCGTTCAGCGGTCCTATGCTTCATGTCGTGGGCTCAGAAGGTTACTGTGACATACTGAAGTACAACTCAAAAAGCCGCAGACTATGGCCCAATTTCTCATCTCCAACGCGAACCGTAAGTCCAGACCCCTAAAAACCCCAAATGAACCCTGACCTCCTACCCCCAAACCCCGAACCCCATAAGGCCTCCTAGGAAGTCTAAGCTGCCAGCAGCCAGGGGTGAGGGGCGCCAGCAGTGGCCGGACGACGCAGCGGTCAGGAGAGCCTCTGTCTCCTTCAAGCACACATTAAGTACTTGAAGGGTCAGGGGGACTAAATAAGTAGGTTATTGGCCCCTATAACCCATATGGTAACCCTAGTTATCCCCCTCAGTAGCCTACTTACGAAGTCCGTCTGACCCTCTAAGCAGGGTTTAGGGTTTTGGGGTGTGTTGGGTTAATCGACCCCCTTCTGAGGAGCCCCCCCAAGCCCAAACCTCGTTGTCGGTGTTGTGCATATAAATTTCGTTAGGGGCTATTGGAACATTGAGGCCGTGGTTTGGAGGCTTCTTTAGGGGGGGCCGTTGTCAACTCTGTGAGTTTAGAGATCATATAATGTAGTGAGTAGTGAAACAACACATACGGATAGTATTCTATGCAGATTATATAGGTGGGGTTAAGGGGAAATAATGTTGGACCTCCTTTTGCGTGTGGGTCCTCTATAATGAGTTTTGGGGCCCGCCTATTCAGGATCAGGGCAATGATTGGAAGGCCCCCNNGGGGGCGTATTGAGGGTCCCTAATTCTTTTTTTTTCGGAGGGCCCTAATGTTAGGGGGCGGGGGTGGGGCCATCATTAAAGAGGGTCCAACATTACCCCCATTAAATGGAGAGTCACATGTACAAGAACATGAAAAATCAGTCAGACACACGGGAAGGATTATAGTGGGGCTTGGTCTAGGTAGGCATGTTACGATACACAAGTATAATCCGTCATAGCCCTTTTAAGTGCCTGTAGGACATGAAGCTTGGATGTTCTCTATTCTTGTGTACATTCATACAAAGATATGATGTTTAGACGAACGTGTGTGAGAGTGTATGTATACATATATGTGTCTGTGTGTATACAAGTGTTGTTTACCATTATTCACGTAATGTGAAATGATTTTGTTCATGGGGTCTTCGGGTTGAGGGCTTGCTGCTTGGGACTTGTCTGGGCTACAAGGCTGCTCACGAAGATGCAGAGCGTTATTCTGCAGGCCTGCTTCGGAAGCGCTAAGCGCTCTGCAAGGCAGAGCAAACTATGGGACGGTGAGTGCACTCTGCGCGGATGATGGCTTACATGCTCAGTTAGGAGCCGTAGTCCTATAGTAGAGAGAGTTATGCAGCGGCCACGGGTAGAACAGGATATTTAGAGTTCGGGGCACTATAAAGCAGTGCAAACTATCCCATATGTACCCCAGATCCTTACCAAGATGTATGACAGGAACAGTTCTCGGCACTTCTTCAAACTTCATAGTTTCTTTGGATTTTTGGGGGGCTCCTTCTCCCCAAAACAAGACACGCTGCAGTTGGGGACTTTGATGATGGGTAAACAGGGTTTAGAGTGCAGGGTTTAAGGACAGAGTTCTCATCTTGCAGACAAACATTTATGGAAATCTGGGGTTTAGGATGTACGCATTTGCTGTGAAGGTCTGTTGCGAACGTCAACTCTTTCGTCTAAACCCCCCCCCCCGTCTCCAAGGGTGCACAAACCCTAAACCCTAAACCCCAAACCCGGAACAGCAAACACTAAGCCCCAAACTCTGTAAACCCTAAACCCCAAACCCTGTAAACCCCAAACCCTAAGCGCCTTGTCGGTTATCCATCGCTCCAACTTTAGGAGTGGGAACGGCTTCCTGGCATGGCCAGTAGCTGACTGGGACCATGGGAATATTCCCAGATTCACATTGTGGTGTACCAAAAAAGACTGCCAATATGTTATAATATAGGCTTTAGGGTTGAGGGATTAAGGCGCACTGTTGGAGAAATTTTAGGAGGACCACCCACCCTGTAATAGTGGATAACAGGAATATAAGAGGACCCTAGTACAATCCTTTTTATCCCTTATTAGAGCCACTATTTCCAACAAAACAGCTAAGGTGTGAGGCCTACACCCAAAGGATCCAAGTATCTACTACACAGGCTATATAACACAAACCTAGAGGGTCCAATGTAGACCCTGCCGTATACTACATTTAAGCTTTCAAGGCACAAAAAAAGCCCTTCACGCTTGACTGAGAAAAACACACTTGGTACGGATGTTGCAGCAACCCGTACATGCGACCAAGACGTCTATATTAACCCCAACTATCTAGTGCACGACGCGCTGCGGACAATTTCCCCTTACGAACACCAGATGCAATCAACGCAAGCAGTGCCAAAACCAAGACAACCGAGGCCCCCAGCTGTACTAGTTGGCACTTGTCCTCACTTTCAAGTGCAAACTGGGGAGCTTGGGACGGAGACATGGAGAAGCTGGGGGCTGTTTACCGGATGGCTTAGGGGGATCCCCACCCTGTAATAGAGGCAAAATAGGACCCTAATACAAACAATATGATCCCTCATAGTCACGATTACTAGGTGGGGGGCCCACCCTGCCCTAACCCGAAACCCCAAACCCTAAAAAGTAGCTTCCATGTTCTTTTCCGTTGGCCCTATCTAACCACCATATACTGCAGTAGCTTCCATTTTCTTTTCAATTATCCCTAGACTCTAAACCCTAATCCCTATACAACGGTAATACAACCAATATAACCCTATATAAGGTTCAGGATCCTTTGGGGTTTTTGACTTGGGCTTGAGACGGTGTTTTCAGCCTTCAACAGCTTGCTGGCTGTCAAAGTCATGGTGGGGAGGGTTTAGGGTTTAGGTTTTAGGGTTTGGATTTTAGGGTTTAGGATTTAGGGTTTAGGATTTAGTTTTTAGGGTGTGGGGTTTAGGTTTTGAAGTGTAAGGTTTAGGTTTTAGGGTTTAGAGTTCAGAGTTTAGGGTTTTAGGTTTCTCTGGGTTCGGCTTCCATAATTTCAAATCTAAACGGGGGATTCGAGACATGTGTTGAGCCCTTGCTGAGTGGACCAAGAATGAAGATTACAATGTTTAGTAGTTTCCCAAAATAGGGGGACCCCCAAATAGACCCCAAAATACAATAATCCTGATTATATGGACACCCAAAACGGTACCCCTAATTTTGGGAAACTCTCATTTAGTGGGTATAACGAAACCCAAGTTTTGCAAAACAGCAGATCCCCCGGGCTGATATTGAGGCCCACGGTCGGAGGAGTCGATCAAGTACGTCCAACAAAAACACCCTGGTAGTCCTTATGTTGACTCATGTTGCTTCGGTGGGAAATGACAGGGAGGATCCCTGCTTCGATCCCTAGAATAACATCCAACAACTTGCACTTGCCCTTGCATTGCCATTCTCTACCACTATGGGCTATTGGAGCTTAAGGTTACCTTAATCTACCCTGAATGGGGTCCTAGTGAGGAATTTTAGGGTCGAATAGCCCATAGTGGTATGGACAAGTAGGAAGCTATCGCATTCCCTACTCAAAGCGAAGCTTTGAGGATCCGGAGAGTAAACTGCGGAAGCTATAAATTCTGGTACCCGCACCCCAAGCAAAAGACCTGCGCAAGCCTCTTATTAAGCTTACTAAAGATTAGTTGAATCACCCACCGAGTCGATAGAATCCAAGTTCTATAATAAATCATAAGAATCCATGTTAGGGGAGATTGGAAAATACGATAATCCTTATTGTAGTGACCCCCCGCCGAATATAGCACTGGAAACCCTAAACCCTATATAACGCTCTATATAGCCCTACTATATATACATATATATCACCCTGTAAGCCCGTTTAAAGGTACCCCAAATTTTGGGAAACCAAACCAGCCTTAAACCCACCAAATGCAGACTGATTTGGCCAAGGTCGCCACTGGCAGCAGTTCTTGTCGTCTTTCAAGCGCCTTTGGGTTAGGGGTTTGGGGTTCAGGGCTTAGGGGTTTAGGAAAATCCAGCAGACGCAGTGAAGGGTTTAGGGTTTTGGGTGTAATAACATTGAGGCTTTAACGTGTAGGGCTCCGCAAGAAAACAGACCTCCTAAAAAGGAATCCTCTACGGGAGATTTTGCTGCGCTGTTGCTATGGAACTTATTTTGTCATAATAGGGGTATATAGTAGAAAATGTAGGGTTTCCTTGTTATAGTAACTTCATTTGAGTTCCTTAACAACAACCCAGTGTAAGGGAACTAAGAGGTTCTTGGAGGGTCTATCCTATTCAGGTGCGCCTCGGGTTCTACCAGACCCGAAGCTCTAAGCACATTTTGGATAGTCTCTACTTCTCTAGAAGACAAAATGTCGTTGTTGTAATTACATAAGGACTAGGAAACGCATAGCGTGAAACAACAAAAACATAGCAAGAAATCCTTATCCTGGACCCGGGTATGTTATTTTTGGAGCCTTCAAGCCTACATACCCTAACGTACCTAAAAAGCATGATAGATCCCGTGAACTGCTGCAGGGATCGTTTGCGAGCCCAAGTGGGTTTGCGCCGTATTGATACGAGCTACAGTCCAAAACTCCTCAAAAGGGGTTATGTAAGGGAGTGTAAAGGGGACGGGTTGTTGTGGGGGATACTCCAATTTCAGACAATGGCTCAAAATGATATGACAGTCTTGGAGTGGTCCGCATACTGCGGGCACGAATTCTAGCTTGGCCTGCCAGAACGTACTGTACCAGCGTGGCCAGTGGATATTGCCGCGCAACAGGGTGCCTCAACAGATTGCCATGTATTTACCTTGCAAGGACTTGAACCCAGATCTCTGCACGCCAAACCCTATGCAGGGTAATACATCCCAGAACACGTGCGGTCCTTGGGAAGACGTTTGGCTCCTCGCCTCAAAGCCCCATCAGTGTATTGTTAAACATAAAACTGACACCCTGTTGCCTTCCAGACGGCTGCGCTGCTGGTGCTGGATGCCTGCAGGCAGTATCTTGCGCCGGTAGGGGTTTAGGGCTTAGGGTTGGAACTCTTGAAGAGGTAGGATGTAAACACACGCTCTTTGGGAAGTATTCGGACAACATTACTGGCTATGTAGGGGTCAAGCAAGAAGAGGCTTATGCTGTAAGCGGCGTCACCAGGTTCCAAAGCTGAGACGACTTACTGACTTTGAGCTGGAAAACATACCCTCAAACCTTCAAAGCCTAAGCCCCTAACCTCCATGCTCTTAAACCCCTAAACACCTTCACCCCTGAACCCCTAAGCCCCTAAACCCCAATACCCCTAAACCATGAAGAGCATTGGAAGGAGGCCAAGCTGTAGATCCTTACCGAGCTACGCGGTACTTTGGACGCCTACTAAGGGTCAACCCTTAGGTACCTACAATAGGAGTATAAGGATATCCCAAAGACTTAAGGGTCTAAGGTCCAAGATAAGTCCCAAGGAGCAAGCATGACGCCATAAAGGCCGAAGGCCGAATGCAGGGTACTGCATGGTATAGACACAGGCCCGCAGTCTCAAGCAGACCCTGGACCCTACCACTATGGGCTAACAGAGCCTAAAATTCCCTATTAGGACCGTATGGAGGGTAGACTAAGGTACCCCTAAGGTCTAATAGCCCATAGCGGTAAACCCGCAACTCAGGCTTTGGGCTGGTCCCATCTTCACTGGGCAGTAGCTTGTGAGGGCGGCCAACATATCTTTGACCGTAAGGTTTAAAAAAAAAAAAAAAAGTGCACGGATGGACCCGGTTGTTCGGCGGGACTCCAGTGAGGGAAGTTCCATGAGTGACAGAAATTCGCACAGCCAATCCTCTGTGCATCGATGCTTGCAAGAGGTTTCAGCAGTTGTCAGTCATGCAGTACGTCCCAACTCAGATGCTGTGTGTGTGTGGGTCTGCCTTGACTCTGTCACCAGGATCCCAATTGCCAGCGCACGCAAACCCAGGACTCAACAGGCATTCTACGAAAAGCCCTTCACATTAGCCCTACGTCATTGTGCTTTCAGTTCGACTAGCGCCCCTTCCTGGCCTGCACAGGTGGGTCCCCGAAAGCCTCTACTTGCGGCTGTCCGGCACTGGCACAGGCCTCAACAAAAATCGTCGGAGCATCAAGGTTTTGGGGTTTCGAGTTGCATGCATACACTTCGGCCAAGAGGCATCCTTGGGGGCTGAAATTACCTGGACGTGGAACCTGCTAACCAAGTCGTGCAGCTGCGATGATTCTGAATTATATTTTGGGATAATGATGGAAAAATGGAAACTACAGAGATTATAGAGGTTACATAGGGATTATAGGGTGTGTATATATATATATAGAGGGGTTATACTTGCATAATGGAAAAGAAAATCGAAACTACTATTTAGGGCTTATGAATACCTAGGGCGCGATCAAGCTTTAAAGGCTGAGGATTAGTGTCCCAGAGGTCAGTCCTTGCAGTCTTCCCCATAGCCCACGTGCAGCAGGACATTCTGGGGCACCACGCCCATGCCAGGCGCCGCCAAGCATCCTGCTGCAATCTATAGTCCCCCCGTAAGTAGATAGAACATGGCTTAGGGTATATAATATCCCCATGTACCCCATATTCTATCTACTTAAGGGAGACTATAGCCATGCGTTTGTAGTTCCCATCGGGTAATATTGGGGCAATATTCAGATAATGGAAAAGACTTAAAGAAAATGGAAACTACTGCAGTATATTGGGTGTGTGTTTTTTAGTGCAAGTATGGCCCTCTCAAATTTGCACACCTGGACTATGGCATGGAAAGACCCTATTTTCTGGTCGGGAATCTCTGCATGTGAGCAGCCTCTATTAGAACAACTGCAGCGACTACAGTCCTATCCATGGATGACCCTGCAGGCAGACATCCAACTGCCCACCTCCTCCCTCCAACCATCGCCTTTGCAACGCCCATGTAAGGTAGTGTTCACCTCGTTCGCCCCCACCTCCCCCGCCCTCGCCAAAAGGACACTAAATGAATACCTATGTTCGAAGTACACTCACCACAGCCTCAATGGGCGCACACCCACCTCTTTGATGATGTTACAGCAATCATGAACTCAAGAAGAGCGATGCGCCCAAAGAATGTAGAGCCCTGACTAAGGGACCCTCTTAAGCAGGAGCACAGGGATTCCAGAATCTGAGTCCTTAACCATCATTGGTGTAGTAGGGAAGGGGCGCACTTTACACTTTGCGGCATACAAGCCTTCTAACCAATTCTGAGAAGCTGTTAAGGGCCGCCCGTTTTGAGAAACCATGAAGCGTGCATCTTGCATAACCCTGTCAGAAGAATCCTCAGCATTCCTAGTTACAAGTACAGGTATGTAGCCCCCCTTAAGTAGATAGCTAGTACATGGAACTGCCCAAAATCAGAAAAGGCGGCATCAAAACTACTTGTTTGTTCTCTCTTGGTGTTTGAATGAGGGCGTCCCCTATCGATTTCCACGTTTTAGGGATCTTCTCTTAACCCGAGCTTAAATAAAATAAGCTAGTAGTATTATAGGTAAAGCAAACGGTAATTTTGACCGCAACTCATATTAAGGTCCCCCGATATAGCCGAGATTCTATCTACTTAAGGAGGACTGTAAGCCCCTTCGAAGGGATCTGGGCACCTGGTTGCTGAGCCCGGCTTTGGCAAGGCGACCGGCAGCGGCGAAGGTGGCGGCCTGCCCAAAGGGTCCAAAGTACCAATATGGTACAAAGTATGGTTTCTGCAGTAGTGATTTCCCTTATGGTTTGGGTAAGTATTCCCCATATGGGTACTTAGGACCCTTTGGGCTGGCATACAAGTGGGAGCTCGGGGAACCATGGGTTTCAGAGATTTGAGTTTAAGGACTTTGGGCTTTATCATTTTGGGTGCGGCGTCTGTCGTCCAGCGTAAGCGTGTAGGGTCCCTCTAAATAAAAGCCTCATTTTGGCGTATACTGCTTGGGCCGAAGTGTGTAATAGATGTATGTTGCAAGCAAGATTTCTGTGGTAGCGGCAAGGGTTAGAGTAGAAGAGAATAGGCGAATGAAACTGGTGCAACACTGCAAGCACTAGTAAGGTCTACAGCCAGATCGCTTGTGAGTAACCTAGCGATCTGGAGTCTTAGACTAAATACCCTTGGAACAGGCCCGACGTATCGTGAACCCAGTTGCCTACAACTTTAGGGGCTATGCCGCTCATTAATATAGGGGGTGAGTACTACTGAGCTGTAGGTAAAGGAGGTTAAAGGTTTGCATTGCTAGATAAAATTGGAACAACATCTAGCGTTCGGTACCTGCTGCCTTGTGTGACCTTACCGTTGCCAACAATATAGTTCATCTTGAGCACAAAAGCCTATTTACCATGATCCCCGCAGTCGCATTCCTCCGAACCCAAAACCTCTCTATCCTAATTGCGGTCTCAAGAGCCTGCAAATCCTCTGTCATAGGTTCCACTACTACCCCCGATCTATACTACCCCCCAGGTTCCCCCTTAATTAGCCCTGATTAGGCGAAACCTATTACCTTAATTGGAGGGGCAGTATAGAGGGGGGTAGTAGGGGAACCCATGACTCTGTATCCCTAGAATACCCTCAACCCGAAATCCCAGACCCTGAGCCCAAAACCCAATGCTTCGCCATGCCTCCCCTTCGATGCCCCGCGGGGCAGCTAAGGCGAAGGCAGAAGCGATCCTGGCAGCGTCCTGGGAATTAAAGAAATAAAGATTTCTTCCTCCAACATGGCCCACCCTCACTATTTCTGCTCCATCTTTGTCCTAGCAATATATTAGTATGTCCGGAAGATCGAAGGACGACAAACACCGGCAGTTGGGGCCGCGCGAAGCTGGGGCAGCGGCCTACGTTTATGCAAGCTAGCTGGAAGACTCCTTCCAGAGGGGCACACCACTCCATGCCAAATCCTTCCCCTGCTGCCCAGGAATTATCGAGATGACAACCAAAACCCCACCTCTACTTAGAAGCTGAGGATACTGTATGAGTTATTCTCAAAACTATGGGCCTTTTTTGGGGTATAGATCATATTACGGCATCTACTATTCCTACTATTATTTAGGGGTACCAAAATGGGACCCTCATTTTGGGAACGACCCATATTATGGCTTATAGGAGTTATACCTGTGCTTACCACATTCTCCAGACCCTCCAAGCGGGGTCTCTGAACCGTCATCCTGCCAACTCGATCTAAATCCCACACCTCAAATTGCCAAGCCCTGAACCCTAAACACCAAATCTTAAACCCTAAGCCGTAAACCTGAGCCCAAACTCCAAACCCTAAACCCTGAATCCTAAGCCCTAAAGCCCAAACCCTACGTCCTAAACCGCTCCTGCAGACTTGAGCTACTGGCAGTGCTTTGGCCAGTGAGACCTCGAGACTGCGGAATACGGAAATATATACTATACAGGGAAAATATTTCCTTATTCCCTACTGACAAACAGTGAGGAGGGGTGCGGGATGGTGCTTCACAGTGGAAACTCCTCATGCAGACTTGTCCAAATTGCCCAGGAGTTTCGTGCAAGGAGCGCCGTTATAGACTATGACAAAGCATGCTGTCGCAGGGTCTTCTTACAAACTATGTAACCCTAAAGATCCAAGTACACAAATAATACCTACATTGGGCCCCAAAGTCTGTAAATATTACTACATCGGGCTGTTTGGATCCCTAGGGTAAGACCAGTGAGTTTCTGCCTTTGACTTACGGAGCCGTGCAGCTTTGAGGAGCCTCCTTTCCCTCTGGGACCACGTAGGCCTGAGAGGGATGATATGTAGCCAGATCTTTCTTCAATGGGGCCTTACATTCCTGCATGGGCAGATATCCGAAGCTTTTTTCAGGAACCCGAAACCCTAAACCCATGCATGATTCTATCCGAGAGTTGCACGCCTGAAGACACGGCGAAGAGAAGACTCCTGCACTCGGCAAAGGGTGGCAATTGCTAGTACAAGCTATGGTCGCAAATCCTCGTAGAAACCCTTGCTTAAAGTGGAGCGATGGTAACAGTAATTGCTAACAGGAAGATTAATTAGTGAGCCGTAATGAGCAATTTGTGGCAGTACCAGCGACTAGTAAGCACAAATGACCAATGAAGACCTTTCTCCCAAAGCTAGCTGCTGAGGCGTTCTTCTCAGCAATCCATCACTTCACTGGCGCGCGGAGATCTGAAACCAAAGAAGTTCTCAAATCCTACGCGACAGTCCATGGGTCCAAATTTACAGCAATCCCTGAGTCTGAAACGTAATAGTAATGACAGTAGTATACTATGATAATACTAATAATAGAGTAATAATAGTAGTAATAATTCTTCATAATAGTAGTAATACTCAGGATAATTTTAGTAGTAATAATAAGGGTAATTGTAACTGTAATAATACGAGTAATATTATGCATCTCCGGGGATGAGAACTGGATAAAAAGGGGCCATAAAGCGCCAGCAGGGAAGGGCACGACCCATCTGCCAGCCCTGTTTGAACGCTTTAGCCCTGATCCAGGAGCCCTATGCCCTGAGCGCTAGTGTAGAACCCGAGATAGCTTCAGATGTCATGGTCCTCGATTCCTTGTACAAGCCTCATATGAACCTCGAAATGATATTGGTAATTAGTGTTTATTTAAGCCCCCACACGCAGTCGTTTGCAAACCTCCTCCCAAAAAGGCTTCAAGGATGAAACTGAGGGTCCGCGAGCGCGCCTGTGCTAGCTCGTCCTCCATTGCCCGGCATGCTGCCTGTCACTGTGTACGACAAGATAGCATTCGCTGTACTGGCAAAAACCATTCTAGAGGGGTCGTCGTCACAATACAAAAAGATAGCATGCGGTGCCGAAAAGGCCCGGCAAAGCCTTGAATGTGTTGCACAACCAAACACCGGGAATACTGCAATTCAAGATTCGGACAGTGCCCAGAACCAAATCTCTTTTCCGCGGCAAGGGCTGTTCGGCTGCTTCAGCTGCTGTTGTGCTATCGGTTTTGCAATGCCTCAACTTGAGTGTCAATAATGGCCAAAAGGACACAGTCGGCCCCTTACTAAGCTGCATTCCACCAGGACTCCTTTCTGGCTACTGACTTCGGCACAAGAAGCACCCTCTGCACTGCAATCGATATTCCTATGCCAAGACAGTAACACTACATCCATAGAATAGTATAATAGGGGCACTTTAAGCTACAACAATGATGGAACACATTTCAGGAATAATCCTTGTACTCACTCCTCGGAAATATTGAGCACCCTCTACAGGACTGAGCATATGGCTGCTGGGAATACGTCATACCAGGAAGCGGAGGCTTTTTGACATCAGGGAACAGGCCTGGACCCAAGAAGACCTAAATATAAGAAAGGCATTGTTCTGGAATATGAGCTGACGCACAACTGGACACAACTACCCCAAGAGGCAAAGCGAAGCCGCTGATATCCGAAACTCTGAATCCGAATCACTGAACCCCAACCTGCAATCTCAGAATATGCAGACAATCCTGACAATTCCTTTTGACCACATGGCCTACGATCCCATGCACCAGAATTCCGAAATGCAGGAACT